AACTTAAGCTTCCTTTTTTAATATGAAGATTTCAGTGTTTAGATTGTTTTCTGGGACATAAACTAAATAAAGGCAGGGCAATAGTACTTAATATTCTAGACTGAACTCAAAATGACCCAGATCCCATTGTGGCAATACAGTTTTATTTAATTTCAGGTGCAAAACATGAGAGGGTGAAGCATTGTCAAAATTAGAATCTCTGATTGCCCTCATATGTTTATGATCAAATAATCTTTACAACAGACTACTTTTGGGAACAGAGTGCTCTCTTTTGTTACTGCGAAAAATTGAGGGGTTGCAAATGAAAGCATAAAGGAGCCTCTTTATTCATGTCTTCAAGTCTTTGTTTCATCCCAACTCTTTTGGATTTACCATTTTTATTTTTTAAAGAAAACTCCATATTTCTAGAGCTTCACTTATTACTATATATTTTGTTGTCATTTGGTAGGAGCTGCAATCTGTCTATAAAATATACTTAGCATGGTTGGTGCTTAAGATGGTTGCAGTCAAATCTGGTGAGCAGTACCGGTAGTTGTTGTTCAGTCGCACAGTCGAGTCTGACTCTTCGCGACCCCATGGACCAGGTCACGCCAGGCCCTCCTGTCTTCCGCCGTCCTCTGAAGTTGGCTCAATTTCATGTTCGTTGCATCTATGACACTGTCTAACCATCTCACCCTTTGCCGTCCCCGTCTTCTTTGACCTTCAATCTTTCCCAGCATCAGGGTCTTCTCCTCCAGTGAGTGCTCCCTTCTCATTTGGTGGCCAAAGTATTTGAGCTTCAGTTTCATTATCTGGCCTTCCAGGGAACAGTCAGGGTTGATTTCTTTGAGGATTGACTGATTTGTTCTTCTTGCAGTCCAAGGGACTCTCAAGAGTCTCCTCCAGCACCATAGTTCAAAAGAATCTATTCTTCGGCGCTCGGCCTTCCTTATAGTCCAACTCTCGCAGCCATACATGACTACTGGGAATACCATTGCTTTGACCATGCGGACTTTTGTTGGCAGGGTGATGTCTCTACTTTTTATCATGCAGTTTAGGTTCGCCATTGCTTTCCTCCCAAGGAGCAGGCGTCTTTTAATTTCATGGCTGCTGTCACTGTCTGCGGTGATCTGGGAACGTGAAGTCTGTCCCAGGAACGTGAAGTCTGTCACTACTTCCACAACTTCCCCTTCTATTTGCCAAGGAGTGATGGGGCCTGATGCCATGATCTTAGTTTTTTTGATGTTGAGCTTCAAGCCCACTTTTGCGCTCTCCTCTTTTACCCTGAGCAAGAGGCTCTTGAGGTCCTCTTCACTTTCTGCCATTAGAGTGGTATCGTCTGCATATCTGAGGTTGTTGATCTTTTCCCCAGCAATCTTAATTCCCGCTTGTGATTCATCCAGGCCAGCATTTCACAGTTAACGTGACACAGATTTACTTGGCAACCAGAAGCCTTTTAAAGGTGCTTGCCTTAATGAAACAAGATTTACTGTCTCAGAAATGTGTGGCCAACTAATCAAAGCCAAACATAGCCAGATATGCTGATTTTGTGATTATTCTTGAGATGAATCTGTGTGATTAGACTGTTAAACTATGTTATAACAAGGTAAAAACAAGCAACAACATTGCTTAGCATCATGCAAGGCTGTATCATTCTGTATAATGCGTGTACATCAGAACCTTCAATGAAAAAAAGCTGTCTTGGTATTTGTCATTAGCCTGCCTATCGATGCTTTGCAAGACCTCTTATTGGGAGTAAATAATCTGCTTACAAATGGAGGATTTAAGTAAAGTTTAAAGAAGAAACAGTTTTTCATGTTTTTACCAAAATACAATTTCTTTCAAATAATAAAAATTCTGCATACATGAGGAATATTTTTGAGGCACTAAAATTTGGTTAAGAAAATAACAGATCTTCCCCCCCGTTTTACTAATGTCATGGCTATTCCTCAATAACTGGTTTACAGCAAAGGTACTAGAAAGGTATTAGAGATACCTATTTCTTTATTTAACCATTAAGCAAATACACAGTTGCATAAAAAGACCCTAAAATATATTGATGAGAATGGAGGAACAAATCCCACTTGTCTAGTAAGATCTAAGTAAGACACACAATCATAATTCTTAAACAACTGAACAGCCCTTGAAATTCCCATGGGCATGCCCAGGAGAGATTCTTGCTCTTGCCGCACACAGCCCCAGCTGCCATGAGGCTCACCACCTTCCCCTCCCTCTGCTCCACGTTTCACCTGTGGGTCATACAGAACAACAGAATGGCAGGAGCTGAAGGCCACCAGTTAGGAGCAGAGGTTCCTTGCTGCGGTGGGAGGGTGGATTCGCAGAAGAGGCTTGCTGTGGCCGATCTGTTTGCTGGAACATTTTTTGGTGTTCTGGAAGCGAGGAAGTGTCTCCAGACTGTGCCCTGGCCTGGGGAGGGTCTGCTGCACTCAGTGCCCTGCCTTCCCCTCCGGGGTGTTTTCCAACCTGGCAAGGAGGGTGGGAGAGAATCTGGGGAAAGGGAAGTGGGAGAGCAAAGGGCCTCCCTTCCCCCTCGGCTGGACGTTGGCCATGGACCCAGGACATATACACAGCATGCTTGGCAATCTGCATGGAACCCCAGGGCTCCCCTTGGTGCTTGCCGTTGTCATGCCTGGGGGGGGGGGCAGAGGAAGTGGTGGAACTCCCCCCTGGGGGAGGGGGAGGGAGGCCAGTGAGAGATGTCTGTGAAAACCCCTAGTATTCAGCTGAGCACACAGGGAAGCCCTGGCTTCCTTCCTTTCCCGGAAACTGCAGCGACTCACCCTCCTCTTTGCAGCCAAGTCCCCTTTGCGGGACTGCGAGCTGAGGCCAGATGCTTCCAGTTGCAGGCCAGCACCATACGACATTACAATTTATTACTATACAAGGAGCGGAGGAGACCGGGGGGGGGGGGGAACGTTCCCAAAGGGGGGAAGCTTCCCAATGTGTCTGGGTGGCTGCCCAGTGAGGAAAAAAGGAGGCCCTGCGGCACAAAAGGCTCAGTAAAGCCGAATCAAGCAAAGTTTCAGGGCCAGTGTAAGAACTGAGAAATGCCTCCCGAGAGCGCCATGTCCCTACTCAAGCCCCACCTGGCTGGACTTTATCCGCCCTGTGCTGAGGCAAAAATCTCTGCACAAAGGGCTAAAAATCTCATGCGCTCTAGCTGTCAGGTTGCCCTGTCACGGTGTTGGAAGGAGAGGGGGGATTTTATCTCCCTCCTGTTCTCAGCGCTTCTCTGCCTAGCGCTCCCGCTATCTGCACATTGGCCTTGAAGATGCTTTTCTGTACTTCCCCAGGCCTGGGAACTGTAACTGCTTTGGGCACAAAACTGCTTCCTTGCTGGCAGGGCCCAAAGCGCGAAAGAGAAAACTTCGTGGGGGGTGGGTGGGTGGCAGTTTGAATATGCTATAAGTTAGTAGCCATCTTATTATAAGGCATTCTTAACACAGGCTGTATACGTGTACTTTAGTTCTGTGTTACCATAATAAGCACTTATCTTCTGAAGAAGCCTGGGTGTGTGGACTACCTGCCTAAAGTTCCTGACACTAGCACAGCTTAGCAGTAACACTGGTGAGGGGATGAGGATTTAGATTGGGAGGACATGAAGGATTAGTTGGGATTCAACAACAAAGGGAGCTGAAGTTGGGACCATGTGTAGTAACCTAGAAAGACAGTTCAGGCTACAAACCCATGACTGCGGTTTTGTGGTATTTAAATTGCTGCTTCTTTGTGGTCAGAAACTGATATAGCTCTTTCTATTTTGACAGTTTGGGGGCTAATCATTGCATACTGTCCTTATGGGAGGACTTCCAACTTTAGAAATATGGAGACTAGAATTACAGAATGGGTAGCCAATGATGCTGAGGCATCTTCCATACTCTCCAAGACCATAAGAGCCGTCTCCCAAAGAGTGGAGTCTAAACTGGGGACTTTGTTTTTCCTTACTTGTTCTGTGGATTTCTAGCAGTGGATGCACAGATCGAGTTTGCTTCACTCATCCAGGCAAAATAAACAGCATTGTTGACTCACTGATGACTTCTGAAGAGGGCCTTCAGGCGCACAGGCATCTGGGCACCCCAATGACGAAATTCCTGTCTTTTTAAAAACTGCCTTAAGCCACAGCTGACTGATGGCAACCCCTTCGTGGGGTTTTCAAGACAAGAGAAGTTTAGAGGCGGCCCTCGCCTGCCTCTGCGTGGTGACCCTGGACTTCCTTGGTGGTCTCCCATCCAGATACTAGCCAGGGCCCACCCTGCTTAGCTTCTGAGATCTGATAAAATTGGGCTAGCTTGGGCTATCCAGGTCAGGTCTAGTTACCTATCGACGACAAATTAAAACTATATACAGAAAACATTAAGTAGTAAGTACACCCAGAAGCTGTGGTGGCTCAAGTGGTTAAGACGCTGAACTGCAGGCTGCGGAAGGTCAGTAGTTCAGCAGTTCGAGACCTGAGTGTGCCGCATGACTGAGTGAGCTCCCGTCTCTAGTTCCAGCTCCTGCCAACCCAGCCGTTCGAAAGCAAGAAATTGCAAGTAGATAAATAGGTACCGCTCCGGTGGGAAGGCAACAGCGTTCCGTGCGCCTTGGTGTTTAGTCATGCCGGCCACATGACCACGGAAACGTCTTCAGACAGCGCTGGCTCTTCGGCTTTGAAACGGAGAAGAGCGCCGCAACCCTAGAGTCGGACTCGACTGGCTTTCGAGCAAGGGAACCTTTACCTTGCACACAGAAGAGGATAGCAGTTGTCTGACAAAGTTCTCAAATGATGCAGACACTGTGGCAAATGTAACAGAACTAAGCAGAAAGGTGTAGCATCACTGACTTGGATATGCACAGTCAAAGCTGCATTTATGAGGGGAGGAGGTTTCATGCCTAAACGCTCTCGCTCTAAAAGTTTTCAAATTGATTCTCTAAGCAGGGAAAAACTCAGCAGTGTGTGATGCACAGAGACCATGAGAAAGTAACTTACAACTCCAAATTCTATCACATTGAATGTTACTTACCTTTCTGATGGTTTAGAGCAAATGGCTGAAAGTTTTTAGCGTACTGCAGTGCTTCCCTCTGGTTTGCAGTTCCGTCCATTAATAAACTAATAAAATATAGCCTGTGCAGTTTAAATTCTAAAGAGCTATTCTGTGCCATCAGCATTTCTCTGTTTGAAACAGCCCACCTAGGAGACATTGGAACAAAATAAAAGAAAATTTGGTTCACCTTAATGGGGTAGTAGTTTATCATTTCAACATTTTCCTCAAGTTTTTATGGAAGAACATCCAATTTTCTGTGCTTACTTATGAACCTTAACATGCAGCCATAGAGCCACCCCAGAGGTGCAACAAAATCAACTCCTGTTCAACCAATCACCACTCCTCCGGGGACTGTGCCAGCAGAACTTCCAGATTAGTATTTCACTCTGAAACCAGCTTTGAAATCTGAAGATTATTTCACAGGAACTGTGGCCAAACAGCAACAGGCAGTTATCTGAAACCAAGCCAAAGTTCCAGGGAAACCCCTTTGGTTCAACTTCTCTCTTGCCATAAAACAGGCCTATGAACAGCCAGTCCCCTGGACATCTCTAGAAAATAAAAATGGCCACCAGGTAACCATTGATGCACCAAAATTACTTGCATTGTGGTCAAACGGGCTAGTAGCTTTTGTAAACTTATTTCACATTTACTGGGTCACATGATGGATCATTGGCCTTGATAGTAACCTGCAATTTAACAATTGAAATCTTCCCTCTTAAACTGATTCATGCAATCTGTTCCAATAAAGCAGAGCACAGGAAACTAGTATTTTAAAAATGCCAGTGTTATTAAGCCTAACAGCTTGCTCTGCAATCCTGAACAGAAACGCTGAAAGTAAGCAACACTAATTTCCATGGAAGATACATGGACTCAGGTAATACCTTTCAGTGATATCTAGGGCTACATCTCTAAGCACATGTTTATGCTTAGAAATGTACTGATCAGTGATGGAATTTGCACACTAACAATTCCTACTTGGTTTTTTTCCTTAACATTCAAGACCCGACAAAAGATTTCCAAGAATGCATTTCTGTAATGGCTTGATTTCAATGTTATCCATCATAAAGATGCAAATTCCATTCATCATTTCACATCTATTCATTAGCCTGGAAACTAAGACAAGCTAATAGCAAGGAAATTAAGAAGAATTTTGTATAACAGAAAGAAAAACAAACTAAAAAAGAGATACATCTTTGACTTAGAACTAGAAATAGGTTGTAATCTGGTGAAGGAATTCCATGGATAAGTTCACATAACAGAATCTGGGCATCAGATCTCCACAGGATCTCTTATCTAAAGCTCAATTCCTGAAATGGACGGGCATACCGGATACCCAGCTCCAGCATCATTCCAGTGCATTCACCAACGTGATGGAACTCTAAATCTAGGACAGCCTAATCGCTGAATAGCCTGTGCCAATTCAAAACAAGGATAGAAAGATGATCTAAAAAGGTATCAAGGGCATGTCACCACTCATGTAAAACCTAAGCAGGCCTACATTCAACTAGCGTAGCAATTCCTTCTTGGGACATTTATATTGAAATTGGTTTTTTAAATCAAACAATGGTTTGCTTACAAGCAGATGCACAGATCAAACCATCAAAGTGGTTAAATTAAAGGCAGACCAGGACTTTGTCTATCAAGCTACAGTACAATTGAACAGCTATTGAACAACTAACACATTTGTTATTACATCCAAACATCCAAGATACGGAAAGCAAAAATATTAAGACACCACAAAACAAAACAGCCTCTAAAACAACCGTAATTAGGGCTGTGTAAAATGAGTTCCATTTGGATTCCTGAATACTTGTAACTTTGCAAGCTAAAAGCTGCAAGACAATGGACTTTAAAGCCCAGTATGGTAGAATGTAGACAACTTTCATGTTTAGTTACAATAACATGAATGGGCCAGCTCAGACTCAAAGGCTTGAGGAATACTGCCCAGCTAAAACATCATGTTTTACTTTTACTAGCAGTCACAATAGTGATGAAGAAAATGTTGGTTAATGCCACCCTCAACAAATGTCCTTCAAAGTGATCTTTGAGGACATGCATCACTGTCCCTCATAGACTGGGCTATGAACAGGAAAATTGTTACAGCTCTAAAAGCTGTTAATTAATTGTACGTACTATACACCAAAATGAAGAACAGGAGCAGTTTTACCAAACGGAACTTTCCTTTTGCTGTAATGCATATGTTTGATAGCCAAAGTAGTTCCTCTAATTTGTGGAATGCCCAGATCAGACAGATATTTACCAAATTATGACTAGAACCAGAAGATGTGACTATACTCCTTAAACAAGTACAAGATGAAAAGTACATTTTACGTATAACATGTAGATGTTATGCCTTGACAGCCCCATCAAATCTGTATCATGTTACTAAGGATAACTGTCACGATAATCTGTTTCTAAATTTGCTGTTGGGGGGGGGGGGGAGATGCCTTCAATGAAGGAAAATAATGATATGACCCAGAAAATATGTGGCATTGCTCAAGACATTGGCTTGGATCCCACAATGCACAACTCGAAACCAAAAAGGACGTAGCACAGTTCCACTTGCACAGAATCTTGTACAACACTTTCCACATCCCCCCATATATTGCACAGTGCCTAGAAAACTGGTTGCACAAGATCTTGTGCCAGCAGAAACACAAGAGGGAATACAGTAAATCTGACTTGGCAGAAGTGGCTACTGCTGGGGTTTCTCAGAGACACAAGGAGATCATAATCTGAAAGCTCAAGTGAGCCGTCCTGCCTTGCCTTTCTGCTACCCAGCCCTCCTTAAAAAGTGTGTGATGCCAGACATACCCAACAAAGTTTCCTGAACTTTTACAAGACTATTATCCCTGAAAATTCTGCCACCATTTTGGTTGCCCTGCCAACAGGCGACCAGAAATGGTGGCCAAATTCGTACAAGAAATGAACATGCAAGAGTTTAGGAATGCATAGGTCGGGGGTTCAAGGAAACCACCACCACTTGGGGGGGGGGGTGCTATCCATTGCAATCTCCTACCTGAGGCAGCTGATTGTAGAGCCAGCCCTATGGAGGACACCATGTGTGTTTCAGCTACCTCAAAAGAACTGGTCAGTGCATGATGGAAAATGCCAGCTTCCTTGTGTTAACAGGTGGTGGTACAGCTTTCCATAGCCATGGAAAGACATCATGCTGGAGGATATTTTTAAGCAGCCTCAGCTGGTCAGTGGTACTGGACAAGGTGGGTGTTACTCAGATAATCTGTATGGTTTCCGACACCCAAACAAAATGCAGCACAGCAAGATGCACCTGTTTTTAAAAAATGCTGGGCATGTACTACTGCCTGTAATTCAAATTCCAAACCTGTTGCCTAACTATTTCCTTATACTTTATATCCAGGTGATTAATGTGTACGCTTTGCACCATCACATAATTTGGACATAATTAACTGTGTGCAACCTATATTTATGTTTGTCTAGTTGTTATTTACAATGTGTACTCTTTTATCTTGTACTTGCTTTAAAGTGCATGACTGTCTCCTATTTACTGTCATAACTGTGTAAGCATCAGTCCAATTTGAATATTCCACACACTAAATTATAGCCTGACCTCATCAGATCTCAGAAGCTAATCAGAGGGTGAGGCCTGCTTGGTACTTGTATGGGAGATCACTAAGGAATACCAGGGTCACTACGTAGAGGCAGGCAATGCCAACCACCTTGGTTCCTCTCTTGGCTTGAGAATCCCACAGGGCTGCCATAAGTCACCTGTGACTTGACAATACTTCCCACCACATCAAACATGCAACAGGCTTAACAACTAACCGGGATATTTAAAACAATACTTCAACCTGAAGCAATATTTTTGCCATAATTTTTGGTGTCACTCAGTCTTTTGTACATACAATCTCGGCGGACATTTCAAAGAGTTCAAAACAATGCTACCCAACACGAGCTCAAACCAGGGCTCTACCGCCTTTAAATTTTTTAACTTAAGACATTCTGGAAGTTGACTTCAATATTTAGGTACTTGGTTGACCTCAGATCAATGGACATTCCCAAAAGAGATCTTGGTTCTTTTTTTCTGTTGCCATACAATTCTAAGCCCATGTAAGACCTGGAATCTCAACACGATCAGATCACAATAGGAAGCAAACTGAACACTTATTCACTTGCAAGTCCCAACCTGAGGATTTCTTAAAGGAAATACTCCCAACATTCTTTAAGGTTTCCCAGACGGCTGAGCAACTCACTCTAGTGCTGGTCGCAAAACTTTAACTTTAAGTGCTTCCAATATTCGGTTAAGCTCCACAAATGGTTCTTTTTGACTTTGATCTATTGAAAGTCCAGACTCCTGAAAAACAAAACCACATTCACACAGCCATTAATCATTTTTATTGATGGACAAAAATATCTTAACATCAGTATCTTGCTAGAATATTTGAAGAAGGATTTATTTTGCTTCCCAGAAATGAGAAATTTCAGCTGTGATTACCTGACAAAGCTCTTCAGCTACGTCTAGCATGCCTTGTCGGAAAAAGTGTTCAACCATCACCTCGTTCAGAATTCGCTGGCTGTCAGCCTGCCAACATCCATCAATCCCCACACTGCTGATGTCAGAGTCAAAATTCTGTGAAGTATAAACCCAACAATTCAGGCTGGAGAAAAGAAGCCAATCTATATTTTTACTAGTGAGCAGTGCTCCCTCTAAGCTGTGAGATCTTGTGAACAAAAATTCTACTTTGTGAGCTACTGGCATTAAAGCTGTGAGTGAGTGATTTGGCTGCTGCATAAATTAGTTTGCTCTGGAGCCATCCTCCCTGAGCAAAGACAAACATCTGAGCTGGAGGCTAAAAACCTGTGAGCTTGCTCACACTCACTCAGCTTAGAGGGAACACTGCTAGTGAGGCAGGCTCTCAGCCCCTCCAGTTTCCAATCCCCTCACCCACCATCAGCTTCTCCTGTATGAAACACATCTTCAGAGCCACATAACAACAAGCGGAAGCCATTTGGTTTCTTAGCTGAACAAACTTTTTAGAATTCAAACCCAGGAAAGGCTACAAGCCATGGGAGGCTTTGAGAGTCTCACAGCAGTCTGTCGGCTGATGCTGCCATGGTTCGGGCTGTGTTCTCCATGCTCCCCCTCCTGCTCTACTAGAGCCAGTTTGGTGTAGTGGTGAAGTGTGCGGACTCTAATCTGGGAGAACCGGGTTTGATTCCCCACTCCTCCACTTGCAGCTGCTGATGTGACCTTCGGTCAGCCACAAGCTCTGGCACAGCTGTCCTTGAAAAAGAGCCGTTTGTGTCAGAGTTCTCTCAGCCCCACCCACCTCACAGGGTGTCTGTTGTGGGGAGGGGAAGGGAAAGGAGTTTGTAAGCCGCTCTGAGACTCCAAGTGAAGGGCGGGGTATAAATCCAATCTCTTCTTCTTCTTCTCTCCACTGTCTCCCCCCCCCCCTCGGAATGTGCACCAGGTTTCTTCCCATTATCTCTGCCGTAGCCTTGAAACCGTGCTCAGCCGCACCGCTTTTTCCCGCTGAGAGCCGGGGGGGGGGTTCTTTTGAGCGTGCTTGCTTGCTATTGCTTATTGGTCTGCGCCCATCAGGGGGACCTGTATGAACTGAGTATAACAGTTTGTCTTCCCACCTACACCCCCCATTCCTGACACAAAGCATGTCGTATGATGACCTGAGTAACTCTCTCAATAAACTGCACCTTCATTAAGGAAGGTTGTTGAGCTTGATTAAGTTGGGACTCTGATAGAGTGTCAGGAATCCCATTACTAACCTCTACCTGCCCCTGAAGAAGATGAGCCGAGAAGAGGAGCCGGTTGTGCCTGTGACTACAACGGAGCAGGTGCCAACCACTACGGCCTCTGTTCCCATCACCACTTTGGCGAATGCCCCGACGCCCCTCACCATGGCTTCGGGAGCGGAAAGCGGTGCGGAGAGATGGCTGCTCAGAAGCCCAAGCATCCCTTCCTGGGCTAACTTTTCTACGCGGACCCAAGAGTCATGGACGTTGACCCCGAAAACCTCGGGAGCCAGCAGATATGACTATAAACCTCCTTGACCCCCTAAGCAGTCGGGAGGTGGAGACCGATGGGTGGAAAGGTTCTCCCGAATGGAGGTTGTGCAAGCTAAGATGAGCCAAGAGCTGCAGGAAGCATTGATGGACATTCCCCGCCTGGTGGCTCAGGTGGTGCAGAATGAGCTATGCTTACGACCTCCCGCCCCGCCGGCGGGGCTGCCAGCGCAAGTATCTGTCCCTGCCCAAGTCCCAGCGCTTGCACCTGCCCCCGTGTCGGAGCCAAGAGACCCGCCAGCACCAGCACCTGTCCAGCTGGGGCTCGAGCACCCAAAGGAGCTTCTAGAGGCAATGTTCAATGGGACCCCAAGAAAGCTAGCGTTCTTCACGGTGCAGGTGCAGAAGTTCGTGCAGCACTGGGGCCATCTCTTCCCATCAGAAGAGGGAAGAGCAGAGGGTCGACTACATTGCCTCCAAGCTGAGAGAGGAGGCGGCCGACTGGTATGTGAGCCTGCATCAAACCCAAGGTCCTGAGTTACGCGAAGTGGAAGCGTTCATGTGGGCACTGCGGCTGCAATATGAGGACCCAATGGAGGAGGAGAGAGCCCAAAATCACCTCCGTACCCTGAGGCAAGGGAAGAGGTTGGTACGAGAGTACACGGAAGAATTCAAAAGGTATGCGGCAAAGATCCAGGGCTGGCCCAATGGGGTGCTTGCCTGGGTGTCAGAATTGGACCTATGGTTGTTTGGGGTCAGTCTGGATACTCACTGGTATTCTGATGTACATAGCTTAATGCCCTGCTTGCTTGCATATTATCCCAAAAGCTTTATCTTTGTATTCTCACACTGGATTTTTGTTCTCAGGCTGATTGTAACACCTGGTAGCTATGAATCAACTATTCTACAACGTCCTCCTCTGACATTCCCAGGATGAGGGGTAGTTGAAAAAGGCTTGGTTGTCTACTGTAGATAGTGCGCTTAGTACACTTTTATGAGAAACCTCCTCCACAATGGCCAGGATATTGTTTGCTTCTCATGATGTCTTTTGGCCTTGCAGAAAGTCTGTTAGATAAACATTCTCACAGTATTAATTGTACTTTATTAACCTGTCTCTGTCACATGTAACCATGACGTAGGAATGTGGGCTGCACCAAAGTTCTTGTAAGAGCTAAACTCGTGTTGGATTAAACCGTTTACTGAACCGTTGCCATGAATATTGCGTGATTAACAGATTGGAGTTGAATTATGAAAAATCAAAGGTATCAGTCATCCCCTATCCCCGAAAATCTCATATGTGGATTATTAATGGTAACAAACTTGAACAGGTTAAGCACTTCAAATATCTGGGCATTTATTTCCAATCCAATGCTACTTGGTCCTACCATCGTAAAATGGCTATTAATGTAGCTAAAGTTAGTGCTGCAGCAATTTCTCGCTTCTATTTTTCTACTCGAGGTAACCAGTATGTGCCAGCTGCACTTAAAGCCTTCAATGCTAAAACTGGAGCTCAGTTACTGTATGGGGTACCTCTCTGGATTGACTCAATGGACATTTCAGTTGAACGAGTCCACTCTACCTTTCTGCGAAAGATCATGGGGGTACCTATGTGTGTTCCATATGCTGCTTTGTGTTTGGAGTGCGGTCAGAACTTGCTGGCTACTAAAGCATGGATCCACACGATTAAATTTTGGTTACGAGTCCATTTTAACTCTGACCCCTTCAGTTATATGTACCAACTACTTTCGGAATCTGATAATTCCAGATGGCTATCTTACATCGAAGCCAAAATAAGTGCCCTGAATTTGTCCCTAGAATCCTTATATATGCTTTCTGAGTCTGAGGCCTTTTTAAAAATAAAATCTAGATTATTGGGATCAGAGCTACAAACTCTTTATAGCCTGGCTAACAGAACCTGTTCTCCCTTACATCTGGGGATTATTCCTAATGCAAATCTTCCAGCAGTATACCTCTACCAACTCATAGCTCCTAATTTGCGTAGAGCCATATCCTTGGCTAGATTTAATGTTCTTCCTTCAGCTATTTTATCTGGCAGATTCCAAGGGATTCCCTATCCTAGCAGGTGCTGTCCTTGTAGGAAGGATTGTGTTGAAACTGTTGCCCATGTTCTCTTCCAGTGCCCTCTCAGAACCTGTTCTTCCTTACATCTGGGGATTATTCCTAATGCAAATCTTCCAACAGTATACCTCTATCAACTCATAGCTCCTAATTTGCGTAGAGCCATATCCTTGGCTAGATTTAATGTTCTTCCTTCAGCTATTTTATCTGGCAGATTCCAAGGGATTCCCTATCCTAACAGGTGCTGTCCTTGTAGGAAGGATTGTGTTGAAACTGTTGCCCATGTTCTCTTCCAGTGCCCTCTCTATTTGGTGTCCCGTCGGGATCTTCTATATCCCATATTAGGCCATTTTTTTGAGTCCCCTGATGATTTTAAGCTTCTTTTCTTGCTCGATAACACAGACACAGAAATAACTGAAATAACAGCAAAGTTTCTCTGCAGTGCCATGGCCCTACGGCCTGATAAATGATATGATAAATTAGGTTTTTTCTTTATGGCGATACTCTGTGATGTTACTCGGCAATTTTAATTTGACTCTGTGTGTATTCAGATTACTGTATTTTTATTTATATGCCAATAAAAGGCTTTGGATTGGATTGGAGCGAAAGAGTTAACAGCGACCCGAACATTACTGTCAAAGCCTTTGATTCACATGCAACTTTCCTGATTGCTAATAAAATCCATAAACGGACTTATCACGTCTGAGAGTTACTGCAGAGTCTTACGCTGGGGCTGCACCCTGAGATCTGAAAGACGATCCTCTGCAACACGCACCTGGTCTCTCTGAATGCATGGATCCGAGAAGCTGCGGATGCCAAGACCCCGATCTAGATGATCAAAATTGACAGTACGATTGGCCACCCCGATCTAGATTATCAAAATTGACAGTACGATTGGCCCCGGCAGCTAAGAGAAAGACTCCCAAACCCCAGGAGGGGATATGGGAACAACACCTGCGTCAAGAGCTGTGCCTACAGTGTGGAGAATTTGTCCATTATGCTGCGTCCTGCCCGGGTGGCGCCCCCCCTCCAGCAGGAGGGAAAGAGCCTGAAAAGAAGCACCAAGACCCCCTGTCGAAGAAGAGCTCCGCAAAGCCCAGGTTCCAGAAGGCTCTGCAGTTTGCTGTCCAGGAGGGCGAGCCCACCTCCAGCACTGGGGAGGAGGATGAGCCAGCAGGAAACGGCCGGGGCCTGCTGTAAAAGGCGCAGTATAGCAGGTCTGAGAGCAATTGGCGCCGCGAACAGTGAGCAACTCCCCTCCCCTCTTTTTTGTGACTGTGACTCTGTTAAACCCTGAGTTGGGGACCCACATGAGGATGAAGGCTTTGATTGACTCAGGGTGCGCTAGAGACTTAATCAACCCGCTGGTAACGGGGCTGGGGGTTCAGGTTGAGAGGCTGCCAGAGCCCATCGTGTTTCCTCAGATGGACGGCTTGACATGAAAGAGCTGTGTAAATTCCAGATCTTCCCCTTACGAATAGGCGCGGGGGGCCACTGGGAACACCGACCCTTTGTGATCACCCCGAT